AGACATCAAGAATTTTTCTTATTAAACTCATCTGAAGATTCATGCAGTCTCTAGGTAGGTAGGTGTTACTCAGACTAGGTAGGTAGGTGTTACTCAGAGACCGCATGCCCTTGCTAACGAGACTACCTCTTGAGGGAAAGTAACTTCTCTTTCTACTTGCCCTTTTCTTCTCTTTTTCCAGACCTATAGATCTCTTATATTGTTGAGGACCGACATCTGCGCATTTGGTTTGAATGATAATGGATGATGTTCCCTTGTTAGTTATGGATATGGCCAAGTTATCACCCACCGAAGAGTTAATACAAGAATCATAAAACCCTTTATTTCAGCTATTAACCAATTTCCTCTAGGTGGTCATAGTAATAGCTATTTCTAGGAGAATTCGATTATGAAGGAAATGTCTTCAGAGACAAAACTCTAGCGGATACCTTGACACCTGGAAAATTTTGAGGATGAATTTAATAATAACGTCAGGAATATTTTTTGATCCTCAAAAAACAGGGGGGTCTACTTGTTTGCCTACTTCTGTTTAGGGGACTTTGTTTGAATCTTTCGGGATTCGTTTCAATATTGTTATAGTGTTTAATGTAACTTCATAACGTAGTAGAATTTCTTGTTCGGAATTCACTGTATCTGCAGCATTCTCCATTTAATTTTGATTATGAACTTTTCCTTTTCAACCGATCAATTAAACTACTTACAAGCAAAAGCACGACATGGAACAATTGACTATCGTGCAACTGAGAAATAGGGGAGAGAGAGATGATCACCTTATGATGGATTCCCTTTCCATTCTTTGTTGTTGTTGAGATTGTTTATTGATCCACTTCTTTCTACTCTCGTGCCAACGAATTGCAGCTACACAACACATCCAATCAGATTGACAATGAAAAATAGATTTCATACCAAACGTAAGGAACTAAAAGTTACTCTGACTAATTTTTAAAATATATGATTAAGCTAGAAGAAACAAATACTTCCTTGTTAAGTAATTTCATGCGTATATAAAAGCTGCCAAAAGAAGTATGACTTCACATCAATTCAGGCTGGGAAATCTGTCCTTCTAGCCGTAGCAGGTGTTCTATTTTAACTCGTACTAGATCAGTTTTCATAATATGCCTCATTTGATATTCAATCAATGAAATCAAAAATTAATGTTAAAGAATGCATATATAACACTAAATGGTCATGGAGGTGCACATCTTCCCCACTGCCAAGCCATAATTACTAGTGCACTTTACTTCCAATCGTTCCTTCAGTTTTGTCTGACTTCCACCTTCAACACTCACATATACATTCACCACACTAAAAAACTTTCAAGTTCCATGGGGTCATCAGTTACAGCAGGCATAATAAAGCACATAAGAAGTACCAAATTATTAATTCAAAGAAACTGGAAAACAGGTGGCTTTATTCCTATCAAATATCAAATCCAAAACTGCAATTACAAACTCCATTAGATGCTTGCTTACCCTGATTAACAAACGTGGAGGAGCTTAAATCTTTTTCTGCAGGCTTTTTCACTTCACTAGAAGATGAAAAATGACCCGTATTCGGTTTCTCTTTTGAATAGGAACTTACTTTACTCATCTCTATCTTATCTGAACTAATAGACTCATTCCTTCCAGTTCCTGCAATGATAAATCAAGTACTCTATTTTAGAGGCCCACAAGAGGTGCTTCTACTAAAAAGAATAACAAGTTCTGACATAAAAAATAATCTCAGAGATCGGCCACGAAGCATAAGCAACTTTCTGTGGTTTTTATCTGGTCGAAACAGAGAAGACAAACTGAAAATCATTACAACTGACAAGAAAAATCATCAAGCAAAGATATATTCTTTGCTTTATTCACAAAAATTGAAAAAAATTTCTCACTATATTATATGTTCTACAATTCAGATAATCAGTCTAGTTTCAAATTGAAACTCTTAGCCTTATTAAGGTATCCGAAGTTGAGCCGGAAAAATAAATTGCTGACCTTATATAACAAGATTGGCGGAATAAAACTAGTGAAGAAACTGGTTGGTGCTCAGCTATATTAAGAAAATTTGACGGCAACATAGACGCGTACATAATAAATATATGTGAGAATTGTTTGAAGTTGCAAAAATATTTTATCTATTCAGAATCCAGTTAACCAGTCCTCAATTAAATTTATATCAGGAACTACTTTTCAATAGGAGATCACAGAGTAAATAAGTTTACCGACAAATTTCTTTAAGTAGCAATTATTTTGGCCTCTAAGAGAAATTTTCAAATCAAGAACAATGAACATTTCAGGATCCTCAAGACTTTTTTTTTTTGCTTCCCTACAATAAAGTGCAAACTATACCAATACACATCTAGGAACCCTTATCCCTTTGACTGAAAGAATTTACCCTGATTTTGGCTCCATAGTGCAGACGAAACCAGATTCATTTATCCATCTTGCTGATGTAAAAGTGCATACAGCTGCCTTATCATTCTGTTTTTGTCAAGAAAAACAAGGAAGCTCCACGATTTTCCTCATAAAAATCAAATGATACCAGAAGTTATCGTCGTGGTTTAATCAGACCACCATGTCCAGCTTTGGAGACCCGTAATCACGTTTAATGAGCCAATCAAACAAACTTAAAGAAATTTAAGACTGATCCTCGCATACAGAAATGAGAAATCATATGCAAGATATTCCTTCCGAACATAATAAATCGTAGACCTCTAGAGAAAATACTTAAATCTCGTTCAAAAAGTAGCCACCCGAAAAAATTACTTCCCGTAGAGTTCCCAAATCCTCAACTGGAAAAAATGCAAGCATAGGACCCAGAATTTTCTGGCTCTCGTCACCTAACCTAACCATCGAATTCGATCATTTTCGATTAAGAAATAGAAAAGCAAAATTAGACGCGAAACTCGAAAGGAAATAAAAAGGATTCCGTCAAGAGCAAATCAAAGTCCCCTAAAAAGATCCACCGGTGTGTTTCTTTGCAATACGAAATGCATTCGGCTCAAATAACATCCAGATATCAATCCACCTCCATGAAAACAAATGTGCGACAGAAACGAAAATCCAAATCAAAACAACAGAAAGATGAAACAGATTCACCGGAAACAAGAACGTTGGATGAAGTCCATACCTCGATGCGGAAACGTCATATAAGCATTCCAATCGATGCAGAAGAACAGACACAATGCGAACACAAATCCAATCCCGCTCTCTGGATTTGAGCAAGGATAATCGAGAACGAAGCCCGCGGAAAAAGTAAAGGGGAATGGAAATGAGGAGAAAATAAGAAGAAAACCAACAAAATAAATTTAAAAAAGAAAAAAGAAAAATCGCAATCAATCGTTTTCGTCGAAATGGTTTGGCGATGCATGGCGTTTTCTTCTCGGATTTGACGACTCCAGTCGGTTGCTGACGTGGATATCATAAAAATAATGGATAATGCCGTACCGTTTGATTGATCAAAATGACGGAAACAGCCTCCTACTAGCTTTCTGGTAAGGGGTCCTTTCGTCATTTCGTACCGATGTTGACGCGGCGCGCGAGTCTTGCCGAATTTACTTACCAAACCACACCGTAATGAAACAGACGTTTTACCATTAAATAAATATACAATGATTCGTTCGTTCTCAAAAAAAAAAAAATATATACACAATGATTCGTTTATGTATATAAATAAGGAAATTTTATAATAAAATAAACTGAGATGGGGAAATTAAGGAATGAAATATATGGTCTAGCTAGCAATAATTAGAATGTGTTTTTCATCTACAATTCGCGAGTTCAAATCCGTACATCCTTAATTATCGTATAATAAAAAGTGTATATATATATGAAAAAAATACATTAGAGGTTTGAATTTTTATGTATCAATTTAATCTCCCAAGTCAAATTAGCTCTCGTATACTATTTAGATCCATTTATTAAATCTTAAGGATAAAAAATATTCATTTTGAAATTTTAGAAACCAAATCGATGCTTATTTCAAACCTCATGTATTAAAAGTGTGTTTTTCTCTAAATTATATGTTAAATTACAAGTTTACTTTATTTTTTGCATGTGTTTAATAAGAGTATCTAATATATTCTCATACCTTCCATTTTGTGCTTGATATATTCGTCGACTTTTTATTTTTTTTAGTCAATGTTCGTGAAATTTAAAAGGTGTTGGTTATTTAACTTTCAATTTTGTATCTCCCAGTGTATTTAACATTTTTACAAAATTAACCAACCTGCTGTATAAAATTTTGAATTTTGTGTCCAATAAATAAAATCATAAATTTTAAACTTTGAATCTAATAAGTTAATAAATTTTTAAAATGTTGAATGGGTTGTTGAGTATTAGATATAAGGACCTATTTTGAATTCATATACCTAATATAAAAGTGACAACAACAAAAAAACAATATTCTCACAAACTTAAAAGTTTTAATTTATTTTATAGGGCTCGATCACGTGTCACAGGCTGTTCTTATCATTTACCATACTTGAAAAGAGAAGGAATATGTGACATTTTTTCTTACTTGACACATTCGACATTAAAGAACGCAATAAAGTTACTTTGCTCGTTCAACATATGTTCAGATTCACTATTACTTCGACAAGTTAAATTAGTGTACCAATATAAGTGATTGCTCACTATAATACTGTAAATAAGTTTATAATTTGTTGTTTACCAATATTGCTTGGATTGAATTGTAATCACTCTTAATATCTTTTTATTTTGTAGTTATGTAAATTAAGTTTTGCAAATATGATAAAATTTTGACTTATGTATAAGACTAACGTTATTAAGCTATAGTGGCCGTCAATGTTACGATTCATATTATTATCCATTGACTCGAAGGTATTTTATATTACAAATAAAAAAAACATACAATAATAAAAAATAAAAATAAAAACAAAAACAACGCATGGTGGGAAATGTTTAAGATGGAAAATGAATCGATACATTTCGGTCGGATTTAAAGTAAATGTAGCACTTATTTTCACCAATCTAGGCACACCATCATATTTTACTAAATAACATGACATTTTCAATTAGGGACCTATGATATAAATAAACACAAAGTTTATATTTGTTACTGCAATCCTATCCCATTATAATTCTATCAATAATTGTAGTGGTGTTCGTCAAACTAATAACAGCTCAATGAGTTAAAGCAACTATGTTTGACTATAAGATCGTGAGTGAGAATCCCTATCCACACGTTACATAATAATAATAATAATAATAATAATAATAATAATAATAATAATAACAATCATGTTTTAAAATTTATAAAGTTTTGAATATACATTTCAATATGGTACTTAAGTAGGAGAATGAGCTTATCCACATGATCTCAATTGAGGCATTAAGTTATAGTGACATGTTTTGGAACATTTATGTTTTATTATTTATAATAAAAGTAAATAGAATTACATGACCCCACCCGTTATAGTGTTGAACGGGTGGGGTCATGTAATTCTATTAACAAATTGAAAACGGAAACGAAAAATAAGAAACTTTTGTTGTTTTCAAAACTTCTGTACCATTTTGAGAATGATTATAAAACTTTGTAATTGGGTTTTTAAAAGAATAATAATAATAATAATAATATTGGTTATTTATAAACTATTCAAAAATTATGCACAAGCCGACCTTAGCTCAGTTGGTAGAGCGGAGGACTGTAGTTGAATAAAAGCTGAAATCCTTAGGTCGCTGGTTCGAATCCGGCAGGTCGGAATGTTTTTTACAGAAATTTTATTTGTTTTAAATTTATTTAATATAATACAATGAATATTCATAATCCGACCTTAGCTCAGTTGGTAGAGCGGAGGACTGTAGAGGGTAACCAAGCAGTGATCCTTAGGTCGCTGGTTCGAATCCGGCAGGTCGGATATCTTTTAATTAAATTAATTTATCTTTTTCTCTCGTTACAATATTTTCTTCAATATTAATTTTATGTTGTTTATTAATAAGTTATTTAATTTTGTACTAATATATATATATATATATATATATATATATATATATATATATAAGTTATTTAATTCTGTATTGTATTTTTCTTTGACGAATTTTGATATACCGGCCAAAAATTGAAAGTGAAAAATATGTTTTCAATTTTGTGAATACCTTGCCACTTTCCATTATCATGTGAGGTGGGAAAGTTTATTGGCAACTGATCAGTACGAAGTTCTTTATCATGGTGAATCAACGATGATGCTTGAAGATATTACATATCTATGTTTAATTTGTTTTTTAAAGTTATTTGTCGGTTTGTAATTGTTTCCGCTACTTTAATTTTATTTATTTTCTTACTTTTTAAAATATAAGATTATCTTGTCAGTCATGCTTGTGGTATAGTCTTGTCTTCATAAAACAAATCCCAATGAGATAAAATAGCCAGTCAGGATCATGTCCTGTCGGTCACGAACCTTGTCATATTTGTTTGTATTCATTTATATTGGCTAGAGACTTATTGACGCCAAAAAATACTATAAATATCCTCATAAGCCTCGCTCTTAATGGTATCTGAGTCATAAGAACATCATATCAAATTTTATGAAAACGCAATGAGATAAAATATATAAGAAAACTTATAAAAGTAACAAATTCATAATAAATATTTAAATAAAAAAATAACATTTCACATTTTTTAATATAAATTACAAATAATTAATATTAATATTATGTCTAGATAGTGATATTTTGTTTGTTAGTCTTTTTGTGTTACCGTGAAAATGTCGATTAAATTTTTATGTTGATGTTGAACCCATGTACGTATGAAAATATTGACGTATTAAGAAATATTTTAATACCATCTCTAACGTAAAGTAAAACAGCCCTGCATTTTCTAAAAAAAAAAAAAGGCTTGCATCATGACATGAATTCAATATTCAATCAAAAAACTTTTATTGATAATATTATGATCCACCATTCATTGGACTAGCTAGTCATTTAACACTATTATGAAAAAAAAAATAGAGCTTTTGTTGGATAGAAGACAAAGAAACAAAAATTTTGATTAAATTAAAACTTTTAAATTTGAAACCTCAAATCAATAAAAATCAAAAGTATAATTTAGATATTTAGTTTAAATATAGACGATGGACTCTAATATTTGAGATATTTTTCATATTCTTATTGCATATGTTACAAAAATTATATCGGAAATATATTAAGCATTTTTAATTAGGTCGTCAATTAAAAAAAATTTGTTAAAACTAACCAATATGAACATAACTGGTTAAAACACATATAATCGACAAAAAAATAAAAATTTAACACGTGAAAATGAAACTTGAACGTTATTCGTTTGTAAAATTATATGTTAATAAAATAATAATTTGAAGATAATTAGTTTTATGTTACAAAATTTATTGAAAATTTAATACATATCTAGGTAAAATCGAGAATTTTAAAAAATTAAATACCAAATGGAGGAAAACCACGAAGATCGGAGACAAACAATTCATATATTTAGCCTAATATTTATCTACCAATTGGCTTATATCATTATTGTTGCTCACAGCCTAATGAAGTTGAAGATTCACTTTAAATATAAAAAAAAAAAGTTGAATATTCACTACGTTTTTATTTATTCATTTAATTTATTTTTTCCCCAAGAGGTTCAATCCAATCCAACATCTTCGCAGAAGAGTTCCAAGCATTTGGGTAAGATGAAAATGGAAGATTTTTCAAAGAGTTCCAAGAATTTGGACAAAGCTATGCAATTCAATTCGAGCTTCTTCTTGTTCTTCCATGTCCAAAAAAATGTGTGGTCTGCTTTAAGTCGAAGGCTTCAACGGTCAAGAACAGCTCGCTTCTCGGTATGGTGGCTCCCACTTTCCCTCCAAAATCTCCCTCCCAGACGGAGATACTCCGAATCTTCTTCTTCTTCTTCTTCTCCGCATCTGGGTCTCTCTTTATTTCGCAATTTCGAAGCAGAAATCAGTTTCAGAGAGGAAGTAACGAGTGAGTGAGATTTGAGAATGAGAGCTCTGAATTCGCAGTTTGTGCTGATTGATCTGCACAGTTCATGGCATTCGGCGAACCAAATCCCGATTTCGACCCTCACGTATCTGCAAAACTCCCATTTCGTTTCGAAATTGTCCCCGTCGTTTCGTCGAACACG